GTCTGTGCGGCGGCGGCATTGGCCAATGCCTGCTGCTGTAGGATCTGAAGCTAAAGAGAATCAAATAGTTGCGTAAACTTGAGTCCGTCAAACTATAAGTAGCCCACTAAGTTTTAAAATTGCTTGCAAGTGGTTAAGTGTAGTTTAAAGAGACTCTAGGGGCTACCGTCTATTTGAACCAATACCTAAGACTAGGAGCGTAATTCAAGTACGGTAGGCGTGACTAATACCGTAACTAAGTCACAGTGGCCAAACTTTTCCCTAAGGAATGTAGTTTTTGGGAAAGGTTCCGTAAGCAGTAACCGTCCCACGCTCTACCGTCCAATATTTAAAAAAACACTCATCGCATTAAGTTAACTACTATTTTATGTTCTTTTACAATTTAAGCGATTTGTTAGTAAATTTAAAGATTTGCCCTAGTACCTCGTACCTTATTGTTACGAGATGTTATTATTTCCATCAGGCAGATCTAGAGAAATAGAAAAGAACGGTTTTTTTTTCATGTAAACAAGTCTAAATTTGGACTTCCTCGTTCTTCAATTACGACGTATATTTGCTTAATTACGTGGCAAAATTGGTCTGCGTATTTACTTAACAGCGCACTTTAGTGCAAGAAAAAATTGTCATTTGAGAAGTACTATATTGCATCTAGAATGTTTAACGCCTAGGGTGAAATTAAACCCAAAATTTCACAGCCCAGCTCCTTAACTGTTTATGAAATTAACAAACCTGCTGATATGCAGCACTGTATTGTGCGCCGACCTGATTTACTAGCACCGGATTTAGAAGACCCATCTGCGCTGCCATCTGCTGCATACGTCGAACCTACGAGAAAGGATTGAGGATAGGAATTAATTAACATCGCTAGAGCACGATATTTGTGCCATGCCGCGTTAGGAAGCGAAGAAATTTCCACCTGTCGCTCTTTTTCCGTATCTGCATATTTTACAACAAGGCTAGAGCTTGCACCAGCCATCGTTTGACTTCCGTGTAGAGCTGTGATTGCCATTTGAGCATCTAGCGCATTTTTGAATTTAACAAATGCACATCCTTTCGATGCACCATCGGCACCGCGAAGAACTGTGACCTATAAGGAACAAATTTATAGGAAACTTGTAATCATTACAGATTCTTAAAATTCCCGTTCATTATCCCCATCAGTCCCGCAATTTATAATGAAGGCCTTGGTTTGTGTGTATGTGCCGAGCGCGCCGTCCGTCCCTATGAGGAGAGAGGGAAGAGGGGATATCGACAATCAATCGGCGCTTCAGCCCTTCACAGCCTTCTAGGGATAAGCAGGCTACTGGCTTCCCCCCTTAGGGATTAACAGCATTATTAGATGACTAAGGGCTTGCTAGTTTTAGGGTAAATAAGAAGTTTAT